AAGTGACGTCCTAGGTACGGATAAATGATGGTTTTCTTGGGATTGCCAATGGTTGGTAGAAAACAACAAAAAGTGCACAAGTTAATTTGTGACTAAGCGTGAAAAGACAGGTGTCGAATGGCGTTTCAAAGAATGCCTTTTTCTTTCAGAGTCGAAATAAGGCATTCTTGGGGGGCAATTTGTTGGCTCCTAAATTCGACACCCTTGTTTTATTGATGTCAGCCATTAAAGCTGAAGGATGTTTTCGACTGGCTAAGTCTGTCGAAATGCCCGTCGAAAGATGGCAAAGTACTTAGAAGATTTCTTCCAAGGGAGAAGTTGGTTGCCTTCGACGTCGAAGGAGTTTCTCGTCGAAGATGTCTCTCGACGAAAGTGTTCGATGGTTCAGAGTGGAGCAGTTTGAAATTCAAGCGTTTGGAGGGAAAACGGTTTCCAGCAGTTGTCACGTGCAACGTGCAAAGATCTGGAGCGTCGAACGTTGAGAATGTGCCAAGTGGATTGATCTCGAAGCAGTGTAACTGCCCGACGGTTACTTGGGATGTTTTAGTATAAATAGTAGTAGACATGTAGTTTCTCGCGTGTGTTCACAATTCTATACAAAGTCACTCATATAGATTCGAGTACCCAGCGTGTGAGAAAGAATTGTTGAGAAATGTATGTGTGAAACACCAATTTTATTAATCAAAGTCATTTACTTTTCCAGAAATTTACTTGCTTTCCTCTTTACATTCCTGTCGAAACCTTTTACTTTAAGCCTTGTTTATTTTACCAAATCCTTTCTTCATGCAATTTCATTTAAAGCCTCTTTATGTTATTTAAAGCCTCTTTATTTAAAGCCTTATCCAACTTAATCAAAACTTCAAAATCAACCTATGTCCTAGGATCAATCTGATCGATCCTGCGAGTAACCAAATAAGTAACCATTTGGAGGATCAGCGGTTGTTTACCAAATACCAAGGTAAACACCCACCAACCCCCCAGACGAAACAAAACCACAAACACCCAACCACAATCCCCACCACAACACAATTACACCCAAATGCCCCACAACCAACCACAATCACCACCTCAGTACCAATACCCCCATATGCCTCACACCCAACCGCAATTCCAATCACAATACCAACACACCCGCATACCCCACACACAATTTCAGTCTTCTGTATATCCCAATATGGGCCCCTCAACATCCAACCTTAGCCCTGATCTGGGAATGTCGGAAGATTATGAACCAACCGACCCAACTTACCATCAACCACAGTATCACCAAACCACCCAACATCCTCAATACCAAACACCCCATGATCCATTTCCTTCCTACCCCTCGTACTCAGATGATCAATGCTACAGACCCACCATGGAACCCCACCCACCGCCAACACGACCAAACTTTGAGGGTATGGGTAACCGACTGTACCAAAGCGGATCTTCTAGATATGGAGATCTGACTGATTTCATGGATCCGGAACGCATTGACTTCGCTGAGCCATCGACCCTGCCACGACAGGAAACGCGACGACATCCAGCACGGGAAAGGCGAGGACGGGGATGCGGAACCGGGGGTCATTACCGGGTTCCGGGGGACCACTGATTTATCTATTTTTTTATCTGTTTTTTTATGTAATACTTATGGGTGTAATCATTTTTTTAATAAAAAGTCAATTTTGTTGATCCTGTATTGAATACGCAACGCACCAGATTGAAAAAAAAAACGCGAAAATTGCCCTAGAAATGCACTAAGGCGCCATCTCACTTGGCTTAGGGCAAGCCCTAAACACCTAAGCGCCAAGTGAGATGGCGCCTCCCCTTAAATAATGGGTGTAGGCGCCAAGTGAGATGACTCCTCCTTTGGGGGTCATCTGAAACATAGTTATTTGCGTAATTTTTTCTGAAACGTGGTTATTTGCGAATTTTTTTTAATACATGGTTATTTAAAAAAAAAATTCTCCATTTTAACCCATGACCAATCACGAAATGGTAGAGGAAATTAAAGAAAAAACCTCTAGCCTCTAATCCAAGCAGATTGACCCGTACTCGTGGACACCCCTAGTCTCTAACATCTTTTTTACATTCAGTATACCCTAAAGTATTTATCGCATTTCAGTCGTTTACACAAATTAAAAAAAAATATTTTAAATGAAAAATAAGTAAACAATTATTTTATTTAATTATTCATATTAACTACTAGTATATTTCTATTTTTATAATTTAAAAGGAAAGGATGATAATTTGAGAGTGAAGTCATAACATTAATTACAATTTATAAATAAAATATAAATAAATTAAAGTTACATTAAAAACTAAAAGTGACCACCATATAGAAACAATTTTTTTATCAAACAATCAATATAATAATAATAATAATAATAATAATAATAATAATAATAATAATGATAATAATAATAGTAATAATAATAATAATATTAATAATAATAATAATAATTATTATTATTATTATAATAATAATAATAATAATAATAATAATAATAATAATAATAATAATAATAATAATAATAATAATAACAATAATAATTATAATTTTATATATTACTAAAAAAGATATTCATTCATTAGAATTGAAAAATACATCAATCGTTACAAATTCAAGATTATTAAAAATTAGAAAAGATGAATCAGTAAACAATCTTCGATACTTAACCACAAAGAAATGTTGAAGCCAGTAAGGTCTCTCATAAATTGCAAATAAAAATATGCTGTAAATATATGTTTTGTAATGATTTATTTCTAATACTGTATAGTATTTAATAATCTATCCAATACAAATTAAATGTCACAATTGAATTACGTGTAAATTTTTAAAAACTGATTAATTTTATTGATTTTTAAAACATAATTAATATTAATTAAAAAACACTTTTAGTAATTGTTTTTAAGTGAAATACATTTGAGAAAAAATGATGCAGTAATATAAATTAATAAGTTAATAACTAGTAAGAAGATGAAAAAATGAACAGAGTGAGTAATTCTTATTAAAAAACCCATGTCAAATTTAAAATTAGTTTCTATTTTCTATTTTCTAATAGACTTTCTATTTTCAATTAGTTTCCTGACTTTGGATCAATTTTCAATTTTGAGTTATTTCAATTATTTCATCTTCTCATTTTCTAACTTAAGTTAAGGGAGTTAATTTTGGGATTTTGGTATTATATGGAATTTTTATTTGCATAATTGAGCCTTAGTTATTTGATATAGATAAGAAAGTTGGTGTTTCAATAAAAGGGGAACGAATATATGGAAAAAACTTAGGTACATACAAATATAATATTTAGTTTTATAAATAATAAATCACATTTCTTTTATTAATTAAAAAATAAAAATGTAATATTTTTTCTTTTTCATAATCACAACTAGGGGTGAAAATTGGTTAGGCCGACTTACATGTTAGACTTAGGTTTTTTTAAAAACCTTTTTAATTAAATAGGGTAGGTTTAGGCTATTAAAAAAAATCTATGAAGTCTCATAAATTGGCATATATTTTTTATATATATTAAAAATATTCTAAATATGTTGGTCTATATATGCATATATATTATAAAAAGGTTAAATAGACTAGCATATATATGCATAAGATTAATTACTATACACTGTCATCGTAAAATTCTTTACATAATCAGTGCATGATAACCATTCACAAATATTATTTTATAATTGATTAACATAAAAATCAAATTTCAATAAATATTTAACGACTGCGATTCACTGACAGTGTAAAACTAATTTACACTGTCAATGCATACAAATTAAATATTCTCTCTCTCTCTCTCTCTATATATATATATATATATATATATATATATATATATATATATATATATATATATATATATATATATATATATATATATATATATATATATATATATATATATATATATATATATATATATTAGAAAAATGCTAAATAGGACGACTTATATATGCATATATAGGCCGACTTATAAGACTTCTTAAGTAATATGGATTTATTAAAAACCTTAACGAAAAACAAACTTTTTAAATAGGCTTTCAGACGATGTCAAACTTTTAAAAAGGCTAGGTCATGCCAAAAAAAATGAATATATAGTATACCATTGGCTAGACTCAGGCCTTGTAAGTTTATCGTAGGCTAGACTCAGGTCTTATAAAACTTAGTCTAGCCTATTTCCACTGTTAATCACAATTATTTCATAATATCAATTTAAAAAGAAATTAAATTTTTAATAAATTAAAAAAAAATTATTCTAATTGATTTTTTGTAATAATTATGTTCTTATGTATGTAAATTTTTCTTCAAAAACCAATTACCCGGTTCATACCATACAGACCAATGAAAAATCAGATCCATTTTAACCCAGACCAATCACGAAATGGTAGAGGAAATTAAAGAAAAAACCTCTAGTCTCTAGTCCAAGGTTAACCCCTAACAATCTTGAATGCTTGACCACAAAGAAATGTTGAAGCGAGTAAAGTCTCCCATAAATTACAAATAAAAATATGCTGTAAATATATGTTTTGTAATAATTTATTTCTAATACTGTATTGTATTTAATAATCTATCCAATACAAATAAAATGTCACAATTGAATTACGTGTAAATTTTTAAAAACTGATTAATTTTATTGATTTTTAAAACACAATTAATATTATTTATGAAAACAGTTTTAGTAATTATTTTTATTATACTAGTTAAGTGAAATACATATATATTATTTGAGAAAAAATGGGGCAGTAATGTAAATTAATAAGTTAATAACCCATGCAAAAATGAACGGAGTGAGTAATTCTTATTAAAAAACCCATGTGAAATTTCAAATTGACGTCGAATTAAAAGCATTATGATAGAAAAAGGAAAATAAAAATTTGTGCAATATATAACATTAAATGACAATTTAATTCATAATGTTAGATTGAGAGAAATTGTAGGTACTTATTTTATGACACTATAAAACCATGAAAACAGATTTCACATTTTGTAATACTATTGAACTCTGATTTTCACCATGAACACAGTTAACCAGAGAAAGAAATCCATGGGACGCAAGAAAATCGAAATCAAGAAAGTCGAAAAAGAAACCAACAAACAAGTCACATTCTCCAAAAGAAGATCTGGTTTATTCAAAAAAGCTTGCGAACTTTGCGTCTTAAGCGATGCTAACCTAGCCATCATTGTGTTTTCTCCGGCTGATAAACTATTCTGCTACGGTCGACCCAACACCGACGCTATACTCAACAGTTACATCAAAGGAACCACTTTGTTTGAGGATCAGAACTCGACGGGAGATTCCTCGATCTGTGAGCAGTATAATAGAGAATATGAAGAGGCACTAAAGATGTTGGAAATGGAAAAGAAGAAACTTGCCGATATTGAGAATAGAGTTGGATGGTGGAATGATTCTATTGATGATATGAGTGGTGAACAGCTTGAACAGTTTATGATGTCCATTTTTGAGTTGAGGACGAAGCTTGCTGAAAAAGAACATGAACATCTCATGATGTTTTCTATGTAATACAATTGTTTTCCATTAATGATTAAATTGTTATTTTTTGTTACTGCACTTTGTCTACAGCAATTCACGTTTGTTTTGGTTCTAATTTGATTTGGATATTTTTCTCAATATCATGTGCTTATTTCAATGTTGTTTTTATTTCATCAATAATCATTTCCTAATTAGGATTTTGTAAATATTGAAACCATTTTATGTTCCCTCTCGATAATCAACGAATGGATTTGGAAAAAGGATAATTCTATGGTGCACTCACAAAAATGAGAAGTTATTAATTTGATCAATGAGAAACAAACCCTAATTTAAACAGTGTCATCTAGGATATACCATTTACCATGTATTCTCATATTATTAATATTGCAATTAAGTCCCTATCATATTAAAAATGACAAAATTAATATTTTAATTGTTAAATTAAAAATCAATAATTTTAATTGTTAAATTGAAAATCAATTAGAAGTGTCAAAATTCTTTGGATGAACGAAATTTCATCTTTCTCTTTTCTCTTCTGCTAATTTCATAGTCAACTCAATTTCAACTCTTTATTACTCAATCCGCCATTGTTGGACGAATTCACCTTGTCACCTTTTTGTTCGTGCTCAGTTCATACATAGGGTTTACTTGTGTCTGTCATTGTTCGTCTACCACAAAAAATCTGCAAATCACAGTTTGAGAACAGAGTTGCTGCAAATGTGCAAAATCGGGCTTTTTCGATCTTAAAACAAAACACCACCAAAAAGCGCAGTTTGCTTGTGTTGGTATTGAGAAGAATGTGTAAGATATATACGAAAACGTTTGTTATATTTATTTGATATTAGTTACTAATATTTAATGATATCGAATTAGGGTATTACGATTGATTTTAATTTGGGAATTAGGGTTTATGTTTGAATTTGTTTTCTATATATGGGTATTTCAATTTGAGAATTAGGGATTAGCCTGAATTTGTTTTCTGTATATGTGTTTCAAACTTAATGATCTCAATTTTCAATTTTCCTAGTTACATTTTTTTTAATTATGGAATTAGGTATTGTGATTGATGTTGAGTTTTGTTGTGTTAAAAGTTGTTTTAATTCAGGTTTACGGTGGAAAACTCAAATGATTCATTTGAGGTTGATTCCAATGAAGTTCATTCAACTGATGGTGATACATCTGAAGTTGATTTGAACGATGACGAGTGTGACAATTATCAAAGCTCAGATAATGATGTCGATGATGCTGATAATGACGATGAAGATAACTCGGTTGAATTAGATGCACTTGTAGGCGATAAAGTGGTAAGTATTAATTCTATAATTTCTGATGAAATTTGTGCTATAGAATTCGATTATGTTGATGAAGCTTATGATTTTTATTATAAGTATGATAAATGCAAAGGTTTTGCCATTAAGAAAAATAATATTAGGAGAAGAGGGCCTGAAGGTAGTATAATAACAATAATGAGGTAATTTGTATGCAACAAGCATGGTTCAAGAGAGAATAAATATTTATGTAGGTTAGATAGGAAAAGAGATCACAAACTTTTAATCCGTACTAAATGTGAAGCTAGGCTTCGCGTGCACTATAAAGCCAAAAAGGGTATATATGTATTGTCAGTTTTTGAAGAGGCTCATAACCATGAATTAACCCCATCTAGGTTTGTGTACTTACACCTCGTTTATCGTCAAATTTCTGAAGTGGATAGAGCTCACATTGATGGTCTTCACTCACATGGAATTAAAACTTGTCATATAAGTGGGTACATGGTTGATCATAAGGGTGGATACGCTGGTGTTGAGTTTATAAAGAAAGATCTGTATAATTATTTTGATAAAAAAATGTGTGGTATTATTAAAGATGGTGATGTTGTCGCTTCTTTAAAATATCTAATTATAAAGTCATCTATTGATCCATGCTATATGCAAAATATATTGTCAATGGTGATGGACGACCGGGTCTCTTTTTTGGGCTGATGGGAGCAGCAGATCCGACTATTTTTGTTTTAGTCATGTGGTTGCGTTCGACACAACTTACAAGAAGAGTAAATACAACTACCCATTGGTTATGTTTTTAGAGTGTAACCACCATTCTCAGACAGTTATTTTTGGTGTTGCATTGGTATCAAATGAAATAATAGAGACCTATAAGTGGTTGTTGAGTTGTTTTCTAGAGTGCATGGATGATTAATACCCACAAGTAGTGGTAACAGATGGAGATGCACACTACTAAAAAAATGACATTTGAGAAAAGGTCTTTACATCAGGTATAAAAATATATGATGTAAAAAATAAAATTAAAAAGATTTTACATCAGGTATTTATTTGCAATGATATGAAAAATATTATTAAAAAAAATTTCGCTGGCTATTACATTGGTCCAATTAATCCACCGATGTAAAAGGTTTTGTAAAAAAACACGGTGACAGTATAAAAAACTAGGTGGCAGATTGGTAAATAAAAAACCAGAAAACCCTTACATCGGGCCTTGCGAACCACAGATGTAAAAAACCAGAAAACCCTTACATCGGGCATTACGTTCCACCGATGTAAAAAACAACCATTACATTGGTTATTGATTAGAACCGATGTAAAAACATGATTCTGAAATAACCATGACATCGATTATTGATTTCCACTGATGTAAAAAATATAATATATATTTAAGAAATAAACCATCACTTCTGTACATTTCGTTATTTTCTCTTCAAAACCCTCTGCTCCGCCTACGAACGACCTCTGCACTCCGCTCCGCTACACAGTTCGTTCGTCCGTCTCCGCCCGCCGCTCCGCATACACCGTCCGCATACACCGTCCGCGCGTCTCCTCTACGAACGCCCTCCGCCCTTTGTCCGTCTCCACCTCTGAACGTCCGTCACAGGCCGCCGTTTCCCGCCATGCACGAAGACGGCCTCGAATCTCCAGCAGTCACAGCCTGCCGCCGTCTTTGAAACTCCCTCTGCCGTCCAACTACGATTCCGGTAAGAAATTTTCTATTTTGTTCAACTTAGTTGTATATCTATGGATTTCTAAGAGGTATATATACAAAAAAGTTTTTAAGATATTCTTGTTGTTTTGCTTGCTACTGAGATACATTATAAAAAAATAGAAGTACATATAAAAACAATTAGAAGATTATACTAGATACTAACTCAATGGCTTGGTGAATCCATTCCTTTGTTCACATCTGTTTTTTAATTACTAAATAATTTATTATTCTTAGAGAGGTTAATTAAGTCTAATTAGTTATAAATAGTAAATATTTTGTATAAAGTTAAGAATATAGTACATATTGTGTATATGTCATTCTTTTTCATTAGAGAAATTGTCTCCTTAGAAACCTCCGAAAGAAACGTTAATGGTCCTCTCAGAAACACACAGTTTATCTTTAACCTATCAAACTTAATAGAGTTATCACCTTGCCATTGAAATTTGATTCTATTTTTCTTTCTCCGCGAAGTAGCGCAACTTGCAATCTCGGAATCTCCATGAAGTAGCGCAGCCGCGGGCACACCCTTCGTCAGACCTTCCTCCATGTGAACATAGTTATGGATCGTAGTTGGATGAGAGCTAATCGATTAAGTGACGAGTACGAACATGGAGTGATGGAATTTCTACAGTTTTCTAAAAGTAATGCTGAAAAAAGTCTTCCTACGCTTTTTCTTTGTCCATGTGTTCGTTGCGCAAATAAAGAACCAAAACGTGGTAAGAAAGAAATCATGGATCATCTAATTTGTGTAGGGATTTTTCAAAGTTATACATAATGGATATGGTACGGTGAAGTAGTAGCAAAGTCAAATGTGTCTCAAAGAGATGATGTTAGTGTAGAAATGAATGGTCGTCTAGAAGACATGATGCGTGATATTGGACAAGATTCATTTAAGAGGGCACATGCGTATGATACTCTATGCAGTGACAAGGATAAACCATTGTACCTGAGATGCAAAAAATTTACACGTCTATCAGCCGTGTTAAAATTATTTAATATGAAGGCAAAGAATTGGTGGACTGATAAAAGTTTAGCCGAGTTGCTTGAATTGTTAACCGAAATGCTTCCAGAAAGTAATGTAATGCCAAGTCGTTATTATGAGGCGAAAAAAATATTATGTCTGATGGGTTTGGAATATGAAAACATACATGCATGCCCTAATGATTGCATATTATACAAAAAAGAGTATGTAAACTATAATCATTGTCCGAAGTGCAAGGCGTCACGCTACAAAAAGAAAGACGGTGAATCAATTGATGATGAGGTGGTCAAAAAGGGTCCTCCTGCAAAAGTGGTATGGTACCTACCAATAATTTCAAGGTTCAAGAGATTATTCGCCAATGTAGATGATGCAAAGAATCTTAGATGGCATGCAGAAGAAAGAAAATATGATGGACAAATTCGTCATGTAGTTGATTCTTTGTAATGGAAGAAAATAGATTCTTTGTTTCCAAGTTTTGGCAAAGAGTCGAGAAACCTTATACTTGGACTTGCTACTGATGGAATGAATCTGTTTGGTAATCTGAGTACTAACCATAGTTCTTGGCCTGTTCTCCTGATGATTTACAACCTATCTCCTAGACCGTGCATGAAGCGTAAATATATTATGTTATCGATCATGATATCGGGCCTAAAACAACCAGGAAATGCCATAGACGTTTATCTAAGTCCACTGATTGATTATTTAAGAGTGTTGTGAGTTGAAGGGGTGGATGTTTTTTATGCGTATTTTGGCGAACAGTTCAATATGCGTGCCATGTTGTTTTGCACCATCAACGATTTTCCGGCATATGGCAATTTGTATGGGTATAAAGTTAAAGGGCATAATGCGTGTCCTATATGTGAAAAAGACACATGTTACCATCATCTTGAAAAAGGAAAGAAGATCGTTTATCTTGGGCATCGAAAATTTCTAAAATGTTATCATCCATATCGTAGATTGCGGAAAGCTTTCAATGGGGAACAAGAGCATGGTGTTGCTCCAAAGCCCTTGTCTGGAGAGGAAGTTTATCAGCGACAACAGGGACTTCATGTTGTCTTTGGAAAGTACCAAAAACGATCTACTGTGAAAGATGTATGGAAAAATAGATCGATTTTCTTCGATCTTCCATATTGGTCTAGTCTTGATGTAAGACATTGTATTGATGTGATGCACATGGAGAAAAATGTATGTGATAGTGTAATCGGAACACTTCTCAACATTTAAGGCAAGACAAAAGATGGTATTATTGCTCGTCTGGATTTGGGTTTAATGGGTATACGAGAAGAGTTAACTCCACAATATATAGGTAACAGGACATATTTGCCTCCTTCCTGCTACACTTTGTCTAAAAAGGAGAAAACAAGTTTTTGTGAGTGTTTACAAAGTATTAAAGTGCCGCATGGTTACTCCTCAAATGTCAAGAGGCTCTTATCAGTTAAAGATCTTAAATTAGTTGGCTTAAAATATCACGACTGTCAAGTCTCAATGCAACAACTACTACCATTGGCTATTCTTGGGATATTGCCTATCAACGTAAGGAAGACTATAACTAGGTTGTGCTTATTTTCCAATGCAATTTGTTGTAAAGACATTGATCCACTAAAGTTAGACGATTTGGAAAATGAGGCTGCAGTTATCTTGTGCCAATTAGAGATGTATTTTCCTCCTTCATTTTTTGACATTATTGTTCACTTGATTATTCATCTAGTAAGGGAGATTAGATTATGTGGTCCAATTTTTTTACGATGTATGTATCCAATAGAGCCATACATGAATATATTAAAAGGGTATACAAAAAACCCACACCGTCCAAAAGCATCGATTATTGAGAAGTACATTGCAGAAGAAGCAATTGAGTTTTTTTTTCTAACTATTTGTCAGGAGTGGATGCTGTAGGGATTCCCAAATCTCGTCATGATGGAAGATATGAGGGTGTGGGTACACAAGGTTTAAAGGTCAAGAGCTTAAGTATTGATGTGGTTGTTCAAGCTCATTTGTATATATTGAATAACATAGATGAAGTTCAACCTTACTTATCTGCTCACAAAAGAATCATAAAGAAAAAGTACCCCAAGATGAATGAAAGAGGGTTGTTAAAAGAGCATAATAAGAGTTTCTATAAGTGGTTTAAAGAAAGAATTGCTAATGAAGATAGTGATTCTAATACAATTAAGTAGTTGTCTTATGGGCCTAAATGTAACATAATAACTTGGAGTGGATATGATATTAATAAAACCTCTTTTTATACAAAGTCAAAGGATGACCGTAGTACCACGCAAAATAGTGGGGTAATGATTGTGGCCGAGTCCATGCATTTCTCTAGTGCTAAAGATAAAAACCCTATTATGGAATCTACACCGTACTTTGGGGTGATTGAAGAGATTTGGGAAGTTAATTATGTTGTGTTTAAAGTTCCAGTATTTAAATGCAAATGGATTGATATCAACAGTGGTGTAAGAATCGATGAATTTGGAGTTACACTGGCTGATCTTAGAAAGTTAGCTTATGCGAATAAACCTTTCATCATGGCATCTCAAGCAAAACAAGTGTTTTACGTCACAGATCCTTCTAATAAAAAGTGGTCAGTGGTTTTACAACGAAAGGTCCATGATAGTGATGAAAATCACGATGAGAATCTTGATATTTCCTGAATATTTAATTTTGAAATTCAACTCTTTCATGTCGAAGATGTTAGAATTAATTTATATTTTAGGAATTAATTTAGGAATATCTATTAAGATCTTTTTATATCTTTTTTAGAGGATATTTATGATTTTCTTATACCCTAATTTTGTGTATAAATATCCTAGTGAGGTAGGTCAATATAATTCATTATAAATCATTATTCCTTATTGTTTTACCCCAAAATTTTCCCTCTCATTTATCAAGTATTTTCCCACAAGATCTCCCTTGGTTCAAGACTGCACAAGGTTTGATCAGCTCAAGACACCTCCTTAAGCATTGATGACTGAAATTAGGGTTTGAGATTTCACAAGGATAATTGAAATTTCAATGCCTCACATGACTTTCATGGATCATTATGGACCCCCAAGATTACTCATGTCAAGTTTCAAGCCCTGAATCATATTTTTGCTCAGTCAATTGAGCAGTTGACCTAAAAATCAGCTGTATTAAGTGTAATACCCCAAATTTGTCCTACCCTTTTACTTTTATCTGGCTTACGCATCTCACATTTTTTTGGTACATAACTCCCTTTAGGTCATTTAATAATGCCATTCGTTCATTAATCAATAATTTGGCATGAGATCGGAGATCTTGAAGGATTAGGGTTTTGTAGTGGTTAAGGCGTTCATATCCAGTAAAGGTCGATTCTTTTTGTAGAGGCGTTAAGGTTGTGATCTATGGTTATTGATATTTCTTTCTCCTTAAGCTACGAAGCTATTATCTCCATATCAACAGCAGGTCACAAGGTTTTTCTCTTTAGAGCTATGAATCTAGGTTTTATATCCTATTTTACTCGGGTTTGTCAACATTTTTACTGGATGTTTGATGGATAGAAAAACATGATAAAAGGATGGTGTTGTGAATTCATTGTTGTTTTACCCCAAAATTTGCCCTCCCATATTCTTCAAAATTTGCCAAGATCAAGCTTCAAAATCTCTCAAGGGTTGCACAGTCCAATTGCCTCCTAACAGTCAAAAATTAGGGTTTTGGTTCTGGCAAAGAAATTGAAGTTTTCAAGGGTCTAAACAAGTCCCACATGCCTATATACATTGTCAAGCATCCATATGCCAATTTTCAAGACTCACAGCATCAAATTGCACAGTCAAAAACCCTAATTGCTTCACAGTCAACTACAGGGGCAAAATGGTCATTTGACAGTCAAAAGTCAAAATTTTTGGTCAACATCTTATTTTGAAGCCACAAACATCATTTGATCAATTCTTGATCATGATTATCAAGGCATGGCTCAAAAAGTCTTAAGATGCAAAAGTTTCTATTTTTGGACAGTTGAAAAA